TACAACTACAAATACTAAAAGAGCATAGTGACAAAGTAGTAACAAGAATGACGTTCCATGCTCTGGAAACATTTAAATGATCCAGAGGATGAGAAGCCATTTGTTGCGACCCTCTTCGTGGCAGTTTGCCGGGCCTCTTCGACTTTTTAGCCTCTTCTTTCTTCGAGCTTAATGCCCGCTGAAACTTACATCTAGCTCGAGTCTTTCTAATCGCAAACAAAAAAATAATTTATAAAGATGAAATGAAAAGATAAACCCCGCGGAAGTTGACCCCAATACACATGGACGACCATCGATCATAGTGATCGTTGTCCGTTTGCATGTGCGTGCTCGAGTACATACCTACATAAACGTTCGTTTGGTGACCTACTCGCGACCTATCCACGACCGCGACCATGATGCTAAATTCGAAAAATCGAAGAGTAAAACCAGAAACAAGTGGCATGCTCTATTTGTATCAATTTCACTGTCGATTTTTCAAATTAGAAAAGGTCCTACCTACTTATAAATACATTCACACCAGAAAGTATGCTACCTATCCTAACCAGTCGCCCTATTTAAAAAATGGCAAAACAGGCACACCAACATTCCACAATTCTCACACATACTACTTGGGCGCAAACTAAACTAGAGAGGACGTCCCGGGATACCTCCGACACCCGAGCTTAACACACAACTTTCACATTCTAATTTACGTACCCATTTTTCTGAAATCGACTGACAACGGCTAGTGACCATTGCGTAAAACGTGATTCAAATATACGTTTAAAATATTATACCATTGACAATATATATGCCATTGATTTATATCCAAATAAAATATTAATTGATTTAATCTCTTCTATTTTCATCTTTGTATTCTAAATAATTATATCAAATATATATGAATTGCATACCAAATGTTATCGAAAATGAATAAAACGTTGCCAAATTGTCCATTAACGATCATTCTATGCATTCTATGTTATTCTGAAAGTTCATCAAATTGTCCATTAACGATCATTCTATGCATTCTATGTTATCTTTGTAATCAAGGAATAGTCTGGAAAAAAAGAAACCAAAAGTCAAAACGAATGTGCCAAATGAAAAGAAATATATAAAAATGAAACGATAATTAATTTCAAATTTCAAATTTAATTTCAATTTTGTTAATAAAAGGGTACAAGACAAACAACCGGTAACTGTACGAATGAAATCGACGATTGAAGAAAAATTGGCGCGAAAAGTTTCAAAGCATTACACGATTTAGTTATCATAATGCTTAATGAATCGTTTTAATTAATACGCGTATCAATTAAATGATACTATTAATGAGGTATAAATGGAAGTGAAAGAGTATCGAAGAAGCGACGCTATCGAAGAGACGCCATCGATAGGTTAGAAAAAGTTACGAACCTAATGCCACGTAATGCTTGTCACGAAATTCGACAGCCGAATGACTTTCCGTAACACAACTTGTCACGCAATTGAGAAAATAGGGTATGTAGTGATCTTATCCGAAATACGATAATTAAGATAAACATTGTGCTCGTGTTTTGAATTTCGAGCTTCAAGGCCTTCTACGCCTTACTTTATTTGAGAAATGTAATATTTTATTACATTATGCAATAAATTTATTATTTTAACTATTGAACATTCTTAGTAAATTATTGATGAATTTTAGTATTGGAATGAAGTTAAAGAATCAATAAATAAGTAGAAAATGTTAGAATAGAAATGTGTGTAAAAGTATATAATAAAATACGTGTTTATATATAACAATGAGTTAGCTAATTGCAAGATTACAATATTTGTACTGGTTAGAATTGATATAAATTTTGGTATATTATAAATTACTTTTACTGTGGTATAAATGTTTATATGTCATTATTTCTTCAATTGTTAAAAATAATTGTTTGGTTAAATCTTACCTTGAGCTGAAGCCAAAAATCCATGTTTTATCTTAAAAATTCACAATACAAATACAAATCTAACAATTATTGATTTAAATTTTTACCTGAGAACTTCTGGATGATATTTCGTTCGGGATGATTCTTTTGGATAATATTTTCTTCTTTACAGACGAGGTGTGCTTCCTTCCGCCATGCTTCCCGCTTAAAAATCGATCGTAAGGAATATCGATTACGTTCGAGAATCGTAGGAAGTGTATTCCGTATTTCACCGTTAGCGCTGTAATCGCGTATTTCGCACGAAATGTTAACTGGCAATAAAAAGTAAAAAGCTCTGGTCTAAATTAAATACACAAAGTTCATTCTTTAAAAAAAAGAGAAATTCTTTAAAAAAAAACGAAAATATACCTTGTCCGTGTTTCAGTCAATGTTTTAAATTTATGTTCGGATCCTATTTCGAATGTTTCAATTTATAGGTAAAATAAAATATAAAAAGAAAATTTGGAGTTTAACTAGAAGAACACAATCACAAAAGTTTGTAAATTCATCCTTTTGATTAATTTTATACGCGTGTGTTAGTTGAATAGTGCTAAAAAAAAAAATGCGACAAAAAAGTTGTCTATCCGATGCCAGAACCTTTTCTTTAAATGGTGTTCAATAGATGACGAATATATTCTTGCTGACTCCAATAATTCTAGTCCTAGGCCATAAGTAGCAATTTTAGTCAATGACAGTAAAGTCAAACGTGATCTCTTATGTTTTTTAAACACTTCTTGATGCTTCGTACTTGATGCGCGTAGACAAAAAAAGTGATGTATCTTGCATCAACATTTCAGCATCCACAAATCGAAATTTTCAATTTTCATAAAACTTAATTAATAAGATTTATGAACGCTTTGGCCATTATCTTGAATTTTCTTTTTTGTTCTAGTTGGTCTATAAAATATACAAGCAAAGATTCACAAATTTTGTTTAGTAAATCGAAGCAGCCATTCGAATGATCATATCGTAAAATCAGTGAATAGATGAATGACGTATTTCTTTAAATGAATTGAATAAACCAATTTCTTCAATGAAAAATCGACTATTCTGTTATTTATCCTTTTTATTGTCATCATTAATCATGTTTTATTGTTATTTTCAGATATTAAATAAATTAAATTTTATAGCGTATTCTTTAATATACATAATATGACTTATTTATATAAGATTTAAAGGATTATTTTAAGATATATCCAAATAAAGGTATATTTAAGAAATAATATATTTATTAAAAATTAAATTGTTTAAATACGTATATTTAATACGCAAATTATTTAGATACAAATAAAATAAAATCAAACGTGAAAGGAAAATATATTTGAAAGATATTTATTTTTAATTTCTATTGAAAAGTTAAAATCTCTACAACGTGGCACACGATGTTATAGTAGTAACAAGTATTGTGAAAATCTCATACATAATTTTTAATTACAATGTTTATAAGTTATATACGGTTCGTGAATGTTTTTTTGTATAATAAATTTTATAATCAAGATGAAAATTATACGTAATTTTAAAATTATATACAATATTCTACTTTTATAGGTTATGACTATATAAATGTATTTCTGTTCAGAAACGCTGAAGGATTATAATATCTTATTTAACATTTCTAAGAAATAATTTTTAAAATTTCTAAGAAATAATAATCTAAATGTTTTTCAGCAAATACAATATCAAAAATAGTTTAACCTTTTTTTATTCAAGATTACAATACGGTAAGCTCATACAAATTGTAAATGGTAGATATTAAGACCAATAATTATTTAATAATAATGTTTTAAATTGCCTTATATTTATTGTTATGTTAATTTTATATCTAATTTTAGTTAATTCTTACTATAAAAACATGTCAGTTGAAGTTAAGAACATTGTACAAAACGAAACATCTGACATTGTGGCAACTAATAAAAGACAGAAACTTGATGAAAATTACGAAATTGTAAATAGAGTACTAGAGGTAGAAGCAGCTGGGGATATAGTAGAAAAGAAAAGTTCTAAAAGAAAGAACTTTGTAATAATGCTAGGTTATCGTGGCAGAGATTATTTTGGTATGCAGATTAATCGTGGTACAAAAACCATTGAGGAGAGTTTATTATTCGCTTTATTGGAAGCAAATTTTATTACAAAAGATCAATTCGAAGATGTGAGACTGCTTAGATTTCAAAGAGCTGCGCGTACAGATAAAGGTGTATCAGCAGTTAGACAAATTGTTTCTTTACTATTGCGTGAGTATTTAATAGTTAGTTTATTGCGTATCAATATAGCAACAATGATTTCAAACGTAGCAATAGATAATTATAATTAATTGTAGCTCAAGAGGTAAATAAAGAAGATATAAATAAGTATCTTCCAAACGACATCAGAGTATTTGATATACAGAGAGTAATAAAAACTTTTAATAGTAAAAGTAGATGCGATAGTAGAACATACAGATATGTTTTCCCTACGTTTGCTTTGGCCCCAGAGGATCCAAATTTTTTAAATCTTGACATAGACGATGAAGTAGATGAAGAACAACGACTTAAAGATCTGTCTGTAATTAATGAAAAGCCATATAATGAATTTCGATTAACTCCAGAAATGCTTGATAAATTAAACAATATTTTAAAATTATTTGAGGGCACACATAATTTTCATAATTTTACATCAAAAATGTAAGTTATTTTATATAATAAAATATTGATATATTACTTATTATTTACACAATATTATTTTTTTAGAAGACCATTAGATCCAAGCGCCAAACGTTATATAATACATTTTCGTTGTATTGAAACGTTTGTTGCAAATAATATGGAATTTGCTGTATTGGAAGTGAAAGGACAAAGTTTTATGTTACATCAAATTAGAAAAATGGTATCTTTGGTAATAGGGATTTGTAGAAATATCGTGTCAAGCGATTTTGTCAAAGATGTATTTTCATTAGAAAAATATGACATTCCCATTGCACCAGGCTTAGGACTGAGTTTACATTTTGTATGATATCTTAGTTTTAATTAATTTCAAACTTAAAATAGAATTATGTAATTAAGATCTTTCTTCAGGTACATTATTCATATTATAATAAAAGATATGGGAAAGATGGAATTCACAAAACATTAGAATGGCAAGACTGTAATGAAGAAGTTGAAAAATTTTATAAAGAATACATTCTACAAGACATAATAGATACAGAAATATCAAATAACATGTATCCTTTTTTTATGTCATTTCCAAAGTAATTTATTAGATTTTTTTATCACAGAATGTTTTACTATAAATATTTACCTTAACAAGTGTAATACAGTATGTTAAATTGGTTGGCAATTTACTTAACACCAAAGAGATTTGCAGCTAAAGAATTTGTAACATGTGAAGATATAGAATAAGACTTGTATTATATTTATTTATCAAACTCTTATATTAAATATATTTGTCAGTAACTATCTTTAATTATTTTTTAAATTGTAATATTGTAATATTGTTACTAATGTATAAAAAATCAGTAATATTGTTACTAAAAATCTAAAAGAATTTCTTTAAATATAGTATATATTCATTTATATGATTTGTTTATTTAAAAAAAATTTCCGCAAAAAATTATTGCTATTTTCTATGTATGACAAATGTATGAAGTATCGACTATTATTTCCGCCTTTAACATGATTACGTGATCTTTGACGATATTTAATTTGATCTTCAAATGAAAATACAGTGTGTATACATCCGCGTATTTCCCTAACTCTCACATAAACACACAGCAGATAAGAATACTTGTTGCTTCAAACGGGTTATTCCAGATTGAGTCAGAATCAGTGAACGATCGACAACTAAATTGAAGAACCGGAAAGAATTTTTTATGTAATATTTTTTATTATGAAAAATACGATAATTATTATTTTAACAATTATATTCAGTAAGTAAATTCATTTTTATTTTGTGTTAAACCAGATTTAGTGACCTTGAATCCTGAACCTTGAACTCTAAAGAATTTTTATATATATCAATTAGAGATTATGAATCTACAATAAACTCAAAGTTATTACGAAGTGAAATTATATTTTATTATAAACAATATATATTTCTTATGTTACATTACATTACATTATATTCTATATTTTAAATAAAATGAAATAAAGAAATTGAATAAAGTATATAGTTTATCTCTTTTATAGGCTTGATAGAACATGGATGTACACAATGTGGGTAAGTTAACAAATCTTTTTATATATTATCTTATATCAATAAAATATTCTATTTATTTTATTACTAATATTTATAAATTCATTGTGTCTTGTAGTACAGGAAAATTTCAGTGTAAAAATGGAGATTGCATAGAAAGTGAATTATTGTGTGATGGATCAGCAGATTGTAAAGATAAATCTGATGAAACAGTAGCAGAATGTACTAAACCTGAAATTATATGTCAGAAGCTTGCATTTCGTTGTACTTATGGTGCATGCATAGATGGAGATAAAACGTGCAATGGTGTACAAGACTGTATTGACAATAGCGATGAAACATTATCCACATGTAGAAGTATTTCCTTTAATGGATCTTCATTTAATTCATGTGGGAAAAATCAGTTTAAATGTGGTGACGGACGATGTATTGCTGAAAGTGATCTATGTGATGGTAAAATAGACTGTGTAGATAATTCAGATGAAACAATTTTTAAATGTAGTAAAATTGCGTAAGTTGCAAAATTTAAAAAAAAAGATCAATACTATGTAAATATTTAAATTGTATTATAATTTTATGTACATTATAATTATTTTATTGTACATTATTTTATTACTGTAGAGATAATATATATTAATTTATTATTTAATTTAATTTATATAGTACAATTCCATTTAAAATATTTATAGATGTCCACAATATTTGTTTCGTTGTACGTATGGAGCCTGTATTAATGGGGATTTAAAATGCAATGGAGTTACAAATTGTGCAGATGGTTCAGATGAAGATCCTGAAATATGCAAAAATACATCTGATAAATCATCTACTACTACTAGGCCAACAATAAGGCCAACAATAAGGCCTCCTAGTATTCCAGATTCTATATTTTGTACTGCACCATCAAAACCAAAAAATGGTTATTGGAAATTAGACCAATCATATTGTTGTAATGGAGAAGATAAAATATGTGACAATTGTGATGTTCCAAGAGGTACAAGATTAATACCTGGACAAGAATTAATATATGGGTGCAATTCTGGTTATAAATTAACTAGCAGTGCTTCAGTGTTTTGTAACAGTCAAGGACAATGGATAAACATTCCAGAATGTGAAGGTACGAAAAGAAAAATTGTAGATTCATATTATTAAACAGTAAAAAGATATTAAATATGTTTATGTATTACAGAAATATATTGTAAAGGATTAATATCATCTTCCAGAAGTGCTGAATATATGCGTAATGGTGAATATGTGTTATATTCTTATGTTGTTCCTGGGACAACAGCAAAATTAAAATGTCATGATGGTTATCACGTAGAGAAAGGCTTTACATCAACTGATGTTAGATGTAATGAAACTGGTGGATGGTTTCCAGAGCCAATACAATGTGTTCCAGGTCCGCTAATGATAAATATTTATGTTAATAATTCTGTCTCATTACAAACTGATGTACAAAACAATAACATTACGTTTATTTCTGATGATAAAATTATCATTTATATAAATAAAAAGAAAAATAATGATCCAGATATTGATATTAGGTTTGATATAGAAAATAAAAAGTTTTAAAGATTTTTCAAGGATTTGAATTCGATATTGAAAATAATAATAAAATAATTCTCTGATATTTTAATTCAAGAGCAAGTTTATAATCCATAAAGAATAAGCTATATACATTAACTACATTTATGTATATATCTAATAAAATTTATATTGAAAATTTATTTATTTTATATAGCTAATGTTTTTTGTTTGTTGTTTGTTATTTTGTATAAGTTATATTAGAATTTACATACTTTGTTATTTATTTTTGTAAAATATCTATTTAAATGTATATAAATTATCATTTGTGAAAGTAAAAAAATTTAGTTACAAGTAAAAAAATTAAATTACAAGTAAATAAATTACAATTTGATTAATAATTAAAGTATATAAGGTAATAATCATAGTACATATTGTAATAAAATGATGTACTTTAATATAAATGTATTTCTTAACATTCAAACTTACCTTAATAATAATTATTTGTCTTTAATGACGTGTATAAATATATATTCTAGCATGTGGTATTCAACCTTTAAATTTGGTACCAGCTATTGTAAATGGAACAAGACCTGATATTTTTGAATTCCCATGGCATGCCTCACTCTACCGAACGATGAACTCCACTGCACCAAAAGAATTTATCTGTGGTGCAACTATTATTCATGAAAGACTTCTGGTTACAGCAGCACATTGTGTTTTTGATGAATCTGGAAATATTCCAAAAGTACATGATGCTTCAAAATTTTACATAGCTGCAGGCAATATTTTTAGAGACTATGATTCTCCTCTTCATGATATCACAATAGTGCAAAAGGCACAGGTATTTATATTATTTATTAGTTTGGTATTTATATTTATTTTAAATGTTTATTATTTTGACATGTCCTTAATTATATTGTAAATACATTTTAGGTGAAACGTATATACTATATTTGTGAATATAATGCATACAAAGGAAATTATGCTGATGACATAGCTGTGTTGGAAATGAAAGATACATTTAATTTTTCTAGTATATTATTACCTGCATGTTTAGATGACAATGAATGGTTTTCATTATATGATGGATTGTATGGAAAAGTTGCAGGATTTGGTAGGACTGCTGTTGGAATATCCAGTTTTATTATACAAAAAATTGAAGTGCCATTTATTCCTTTTGAACGGTGCAAAACTTTAAGTAATCATTATGATACACGACATTTTATTACAACTGATAAATTTTGTGCAGGTTATACGAATGGTTAGTAAAACATTAAAATTCTTTTTAAAATTAAATATTAAATATGTAAATAAGTACTCTGTTTATTTTATATGAATCATTTTATAATTAAAAATATGTAAATTATAGGTTCAGCAGTTTGTGAAGGCGATAGTGGTGGCGGACTGGTCTTTAATAACAATGGATTATGGTACTTAAAAGGTATTGTTAGTGTTGGTCTTGGTACAAAAGAAGAAGGAGGAAATCTAGTCTGTGATAACTATGCATATTCTTTATATACTAAAGTTTCCTCTCATATTTCATGGATTCGAAATATTATTTTCAAGATAGACAAACCATCATTATTAAATCGATGTCCATCATAATTATATTATATACATAATTATATAAAATGCTCAATGATTAATTTGAAAAGTTATTATCTATCTACTAATGATTTTTATCATAAAATATTGAGATTGAAAGTTTATTTGTTTATTTTTTTTCAGCACAGCATATATTGATGAAATTTTATATTTTTATATATGTAATATGTATTTTTTACACTATCACCATTATTTTATAAATATAACAATAAAAATACAATAAAAATACAAATTATACAATATTTCAAATATATTTAATAAAAAATGTGTAAAATATTGTATCAACATGTCAAAAATGTATGAGTAAATAAAACTTTTTAACATAAAATCTTATATACAAATTTTAAACATTATTCTTAACATTATTTCTTAAATTTGTACACAATAAATTTATAAATTATATACTTCTATAAAATTACATTACATTATATTTAAAATTATTTTTGCTACAAATGTGACATTATAATTAACAAGACACTATAATTACAAAAAAGTATACATATATGTAACGTTATAATTGTTACAGACATTCAGATTGTTTCGATATCTTTTTGTTGTAGACCTTTTTTGGTAATTCAGATGATACATTCGATATAGCTTCTGTTTAAAAAAATATCATATAATATCAAACGTAAAAATATAATATTACAATACAAAGAAATATAATATAAATATTTTACCTTCAACACATAAGTTTTTTAATTCTTTTTGAAGTTCATCGATGGTAGGGCTTAATTTGGAATTTGGTACTGAAGGCAAAATGTTTTCATCAGATTTCATTAATTCTACTAATTCCGCCTCTAAATCAGCGCTTGAATCATCATTTTTAAAAGATTCTGACAATGTAAACTGTACTTCTTTTTGTTCTTCTAGAGCCTGTAATTTATATCAATACAAATATTTCAATACAAAAAAAACTAACAATTAATTGTTTAGTTTTTAAATTTACTCACTTCTAATAGATCATCTACAACATCTGTGACATTGGATTCTGACAAACTTTTGTTAAGTGTTTTTAATACATTTGATCCTGTTTTATAAGCCGATAGTACAGTAGTATTTGTATGAGTATTTTGAATACTTGTTATAAGACTTTGAATATTGTCAAGTGTTTGAGCTCGTTTTTCAATAGTATTTTCTAATTCTTTCTTTTTCTTCAGATATGTTTTTGCTACTTGTTGCAATCCCTTAGTTAAATATGATTTAGTTTCATTAATAACATTAATTTTTTCTTTCTCCATGAGTTCTATTTCTTTTATAAGTTTATTTTCTTGTTTTATCAACTTATACAGGCCTTCTTCAATTTCTGTTATACTGTCTGATGAATGCATAACAATTTTAATCAATAACTCATTTTCATTTTCACTACTCCTAAAAACCACTTTTTTCTGATGTCTTAACCATATTAAAATTAACATTATGGTATTATCTGATATATTTTTATCTATTTCAGATTTACAACTTTTTGCTAGTTCAGAAAATGATACAAGAATATGTTCTCTTTTTCTTTGTAAGATAGAAAGTAAAACATCTCCAAATTCTTTGACAATTTGTAGATGTATATACTTGGTTTCTCTGTTAATTTCATTATTACCAATATAACTTTTAACTTTCGAAAATGACCATACAAATGGCTTTTTTATAAATATATCAATTGACCATGCAGTCCATGATTCACAAGGTTCTTTCAAAAATTCAGTTTCTGAAATTATTTCATTAGTCCTGTAATATTACATAGATTAGTCAGTGTGCAAATACAATTAGAATATTGGTTCCTTTTTAATTATTCTTTTAATTATTCTATAATCCACAAAGGTAACATTACCGTAGCAATTCTTCAACGACAGTTGTTAAACAAAGTGGTGTGCAACCTCTTCTTTTAAAAGTACTATTTAAGTCTGTAATAGAAAAACTGATTCTCTTAGTATGTTTCAACCATTCATATATTAAATTCTGCCAAAATTTATATTTTGATATCCAATCTTGTGGATTAGCTGATTTACTGCGAAAAGGAGAAAATAAAGCACTGATCCTTTCTTCTTCATTCCAACATTTAGGCATCTTTTCAGAAGGAAGTGGTAAGTTATTATCTATATTATCAATTTTCATAGTCATTTCTTTAGCTAAAAGAATATTTTTGTTAAGTTAGGTTATATTTTTACATAACATTGTGAAAGCATATAATAATATTTATCTTCTCACAGTAATGTCGTCACATATGATTAAAATATAATGAAAATATGCATCAGTTTTTGTCAGATAAATAATAACTTTTTATTGTTGAAGATAAAGTAGGATCTTTCCTTCAACAACAGTGTTATTACATCGAGTGCTATCATTTATAGTTTATAGCATAAGCTACACATCATTTATAATGTAAATAATAAGTTACTTTGTATGTTTGAAATACATTTGCTTCAAATACGTCCACAAATAATTTACGATTATAATAATTTTTATTTAAATGCACTTTTGTTCACGATGACCAATAACACGTCTTTCTGATATTTCTATTACAAACGTTATTAAAATTTGTAAATATCTCTAAATTTTTTTTGAAAAAAAAATTTTTTTTATATCTTCGAAATAGAAAATTAAAATTCTATCTATTACGTTTCGTATATAACAACTTACTAACACATATATATATTATTTCAAGTCAAGAAGATATTTGCTTACTACTTTGATATTGTTTATGTTATAATTTATTAATAAATAGTTACTGATTAAATATATATATTTTGGTAATACATATATTGTATCAAATATGAAATGATGAAAAACTGAAGTGAAACTAAAAGTGAATATTTAATCAACAATTGTAATATATAACATTTTTAAAATAATTTTAATAAAAATCATATTTTAAATTATTCTAAATTAAAAAATGCAGAATTAAAAAATATACTATCTGAAGATTAATTAATATAAATGATTGTAATCTTATTTTATTATATCCATAGTTTGTAAGGTTAAGTTCTTGTTAGTGTGTCTCTTTTTTTTAATTTCAATAAAAATATTAAATGCTTAATAAGAGTTTAGATGAATATTAGTTTATATATATATATATAAGTTAATATTCCTTAAATGCTGAATCATAATAAAAATGTCAGCATTTTTAGGTAAGAAAATGTTAGTATCAATAGGTTAGTTAACTTTTATATATACATGTTCATAAATTAATAATAAGTTTTCGTCATAAATTATTGCATATGTAGTAAAATTCTTTTTATTTAATCTCTATTGATTTTATAGATTCTATCGTATTTCTTACTGTTGTGGCATTTTTATGGGGTGTAACGAATCCATTTATTAAGAAAGGAGCCAAAGGTTTAGAAAATGTAAAATCATCTTCTAATTTTGGTCAATTTTTTAAAGAGCTTGCCTTTCTTGTTACAAATTTAAAGGTTTGTTTTAAAATCTCTATTATCTTAAATATACTTTATTAGTTATTCTTCTTTTTTTTAGTACATTATACCATTTATCATTAATCAAAGCGGATCTGTATTGTATTTTTTAACTTTGAGTAAAGCAGATATATCATTGGCTGTCCCAGTTACTAATTCTCTTACTTTTGTGATAACTGCAATGACTGGTTGGATTTTGGGTGAAGAAAAGATAAATAAATGTTGGCATATAATTTGTTATCTTTCAATATCCATAATTTATAATGGAATTTATATAAATTTTGATTTTCAGATACGTATATGGGGATGATATTGATTTTGATTGGAACAGTCCTTTGTTGCTTGGATAAAATAGAGAATACTTAGATAGGGAGGACAACTTTATAGCACTTCAGTTTAGAATGTGTCAATTTTATTAATCTTTCGTAGGCAAGCATGTTGTTTCATTATTTATAGAAAAGAAATCTAGGTTGTTCATATCCATATACTTAAAAAATCTAGATTGTTCATATCCATACACTTAAAAAATGTAAAAAAAATTTGAATTATTTAATGAAGCTCGAAAGATTAAAAGGTTTTTGGAAAATTTACAAGTGGAATTTAGCTGAATGACTTAAGTCATAGAGGATTAATCATAAATGATAATCAAAATTTTGTGAGATTGTTTTTGATATTAAAAATAATATTTGTATTATAATAATTATATAGATATAATTATATGAATGAAGTTGTAGTCATATATTATATAATTATACAAATAAGAAATACAGTTTTTAAGTGCTATTAATTATTTAGCAGGCTACATGTTATTATGAAATATATGGAATTTATGACACTGATTTTTTCTTAGTACTTAAAATATTTGGTATTATGCTTATTTATTTATTTCAAATTAATAACTGTGTTACAAAATATTCTGGCTTAAATGAGATGTAAATAACTATATTAAAAGATAATATAAATTTATAGAGAGAACGATACATTGTCTATATATTCATGATATTTACATATGAGTTATAATTGTCAATATATACACGACAAATAAACAGCACCAAATAGAAAGGAAAATTATGGACATACTGAATTCACGTTGTTGCACGAAATAGCACAAAACAGATTGAATTTTACATATAAATATCTTTTTACTATTTCAGATGTTCACAATTAGTTCGAAAAATGATGGAATGTGCTAATTAATAATCCAAGAAAAAAATTAAGTGGAAATATAATGAAGCAAACATAAAGACTACAGTTAGAAATAAAGATTATTATTACAAATATTTACAATTAATATATGTAAATAAGATAGAGTTGATCTATGCACAAAAAACGTATATAACTGTTATTTCCTTGTACAATTTAACCATGGTGATTGTTATGACAAAATTAAACAAATATTTCTTTTTATGCTGTCACTATTATCTTAAAATATATTATATGTTATAATTAATATATTAAGAAAATATCTTGCATGTTCGGAAATTTTGATTTCAGTTGAAATAATATGTTATGTATATGAAAAACGGAAATGGCACTCTGATTCACGGTGAAATGAAATTAATTTTTTCCATTTTTTAAAAACCACATGAAAAGTAAGGTAATAGCGTAATATGGTTATTAATGCATTCTCATCTTATGCAACAAATTTAATTTTTTTAAATTTGGTAGAGAGAAAGCTCCATTACGGAAGGAATACCAGTTTTTGAAGATCCTATTAAAATATGTAGAAGTTGATCTTTTCGATAAGTGCGTATCTTCCAATTGTATGTATTTCGTTGATTTTCTTTTGTTGTCAGTTTAAATTTGTTGAGTTTCTTTTGTTGTCATTTATTACCACATTCCAAAAAAGGATAGTGTGTCAGTCAATGAAACAACTAGAAGATAGTGTTTTAGCAATGTGTGTACATATTCAGATAATTTTACATTTTGCCATGAATCCGCATGTGGCTACATAACTTGTTTACAAAAGTAGTTTAAGCGCAATGTAGTTCACAATCAACATCATAATTAATTTACATTATTAATTGTAATTACAATGATTATATATTAAAACAACGAAGAACTTGTCAATTTCTTTCATTCGGTTAATAAGAATTACTTATTTAATCATTAAATCGTTTCTGATCTGAGGCGGATTTTTCATTATACATTAGAAGAAACAAAATACAGTGATAAAATAATAACTTGTACAATTATATATATTGTCGGCGGTGGATCGATGCGTGTGTTATCGTTAATCCCTTACAATTACGAATTACTTATGAGACTCAAGACTAGCATTAATCAATGGCCTCCCCTCAAGCTCGGGATTTTTTGCTTTTCAGCTTGAACCAACCCGCACTCTTATTCGGATCGCGTGGAACGGATGTGGATCTGTTTAGTTCTGGTTTTGAGTTTACATTCCGTGATTTGGTGGCCAACGATTCCGTGGAAACGGTTCTATCCACCTTTTGCTTGTCTTTCGATTTCAGCGTGCTACGATTAATCGTTCCTGCAATGATAAATTATTACATATTAACGTGACTTTTCACATATGAACAGTGTGGACAGGAAATAATATTTCATAAATGAAATATTTTCTTTTTCATGCGTTCAAAAATTCAGAATATTTTCAACTTTCTTTTTATCATTTTATTCATTTTATTTTTACCAGTTTTTAAGAGATTATCTTTGCTTCGTCGCATATCTTTTCCCCGACGACTTAATGTCTCGCGACTTCTTTGCCTGCGCCTTATAGTTGCTAGGGGCTTTGGATGTAATTGTTGATCGTAATTTATTTCGAAAGGTTCCCTGTAATGTCTAGGTTTCCAGGGTGCAAGAACACTGACACTTCTCGATACTGTTCTCGTGTGCGATTGAAGTGGTCGATTTAATTCCTCTCTGCTCGCTGCTCTACGTCTTTCGTTGGGACCAGGTATCTCGCCCACTGAACAAAAATATAATTGCAATATAATTACATAATCAATTTTACACTTAGGTAAATAGAATATCATATAATCATAGTGTATGATTAATAAAAAATAAATTTTAAATACGTGTGAAAGGACCAGGGTGCTTATTTTACACACACACACACACACACACATACACACACGCACGCACGTACGCACGCACGAACGCACACACACGTGTGAGAATATAGCAGTGAATATTATTCTATAAAGATAATAAGTTATAAAACATGAAGTTATTATAAAAAAAAGACTTTTTTCAAGTATGTCATTATTTTTATTAAAGAAAAAAAAAGAAACAATTTAAAAACTTACTAACGATAAAATAAATTTCTTAAAGCTTAAACACTTTTTAATATTTAATTGTTCTGATTCGCTTGAAAATTGTTAATAATCACCTGTGGCAGCATGAAGATATACGACAGATCTCTGTGATCTTTGAGAATTTTGACTCTGTTGACTGCTATCTCCTGTTGTGCTCTCACCGGAAGACAACGCGCTTTCAGCGAGCCTCGGTGGTTTCCGAGGTGGCGACAAAATACTCAAATTGTGACGGCTGGAATTTGTAACATCACGTCCTGAACAGGCGTGATCGTCTCGTTTGTTTCTACAAAACGCAAGCAATCGTACGTACGATGAGAATCGATTCATTATTTTTTTACACCCTGTTATTATCATCTCAAGTGTATCTTTTCGTGAAATTCGAAGAAAGTTTACATAGATATATGGAGAAAAGAAAAGATGAATGTCACCTGCGATCTCTATTGGACGAAACAGACTCTTGATCAGTGTCACCAAAGAAACGCAAGTTCTTTTGCACGGAGACTCGTTCGGGTGCCGATGAGGCTTCCTCGTCCTCGGTTCCGGTGGTTAGGATCTCGCTTTCTGGTATCCTCGGTTTCTTATCCACCGTCTGAAGCAGTAAAATTGACGCAGACG